AAATATATATTTTGTGTATGTTTTATTCAAATTTTGTGCTTTATCCATAGGACCTGTTTTGTCCCTATTCTCAAGAATCACTAAGGGGATTTCCCCAACTGGGAGCTTGCTGAATGTGACAGGTAGCCAATCAGAAAATTACGGAGGGGAATCCCAAACAGCTGACACGGTGCAACCCAAAATCCAGCGGATATTGGAGATGATATGTGGAAACAACATTAATATTTATTCAACATTTCGTGCAAAGAAGATAGAAATGACAAAGGGTGACATAAATAGGTTATAATGATTTTCATTCAGTCAGAACTTTACGCTGATTTTAGCCACATGCGTCACAGGTAGATTCTAGTAAAGCATTGATTAATGCCTGGTTTTAAAATTAGTTAACTGGACTTGTAGCCATTATTTTGTGCCCATGTGGCTGGACACCACACGGCACGATCGAACCCGATCGAACCGTTACATATAGGATTTCTGTCGGCTAATGTGTCTCTCAGGTTTTGAAAATGGGCCGACAGTCGGCCGACAACTCGTGTAGTGTGCGCTGTGCATTACACTAAGGAAATGAAGAAGGGAGGGTCAGTGGAGAGCACCGGAGATGAGCCTTTTTTCATTCAGTGTCATCAAGAGAAAGGGAAAAAAAGGCAGGAAGAGACGATAAAGTCGACAATTAAAATTAAGTCGATAGGTTTAATTTATCGTGCGATTAATTGATTTATCGTTTATCGCGACAGGCCTAATCAGAAACTCACCCAGCAATGGTTAACAATTGTGAGTGTGTGAATAACGTCAATTGCTGACGTTAAATGAGAAATCTGAACCTCCAAGTACAGAATGTCACTTTACAGCCACAAACTTCAAGGTAGCTTATTCGATTTTCATAGACAGACAAACACAACGCAGAAAAAAAGCTAAGCGACGCACACGTTTGAATTTAAATATGATGCAGAATCCTGAAATGAAAATTTGTTTTTGGTTTAACACTACATCCCATAAAAATTTTGAAACAGTAGACAAAATGGGAAAATAGACGTAACCACATGCAGTATAAACTACATGTGATAAAGGCATATTGTGTTACAATAGCCAGACCTATATAATCTGTGGCGATGCATGAAAACTGACTGCAGTTTAGTTTGCAAAGAAAAAAGCCTCATGGTTGAAAACAAGGCATCTCCCTGGCACGATGCTGCCATGACTGTGTTTCACCAACTGTATCTGAAACTGTTTCTGTGAACAGTGTCGACTTTTGGAAAGCATTGTTCACAGAAATCTTCTCTGAATTGATGACATTTTTCACTGTAGACCGAAAAATCTCCAAATTATTTGTTCTCTTGATGTGAAAAATATTTTTAGGATGTACTCCAGTTACTGACCAGCTGTGTCCAAAAATATGTTGTTTCACAGAGTTTTTGTGTGTGTGTGTGTGTGTGTGTGTGTGTGTGTGTGTGTGTGTGTGTGTGTGTGTGTGTGTGTGTGTGTGTGTGTGTGTAAATTTAAGAATATGGCGGTATTTATAATTATCAAAGCATTTGGGGGTGAAAAAAATCTTCTGGGAACTTTATAATCCCTTTTTAGTATTTTCCTATTTCTGGGTTGAGCTTTGCGTTTTGCGTAAAGTTTTTTGCTCTCAATTTTTTACTTATGGACCATTGTTATTTTCCGTAACTGTGGCAACAAGGTGTTTTTTTTCTTGCTTTTTTTTTGCTTTAGTCTGTTTACTTTTTACAAGAAGGCACATCCTCAGCTCAAATAAATATCTGAACTATGACCCCAAAATCCAGTGCAATTTAAAAAGGAGACGTCATGAATGCAGAGCAGGATGAGAAAAGTAGAGAGAGAAGGAAGACTTTCAAACCATCTCTCCCGTAGATAATAATAATAATAATAATAATAATAATAATAATAATAGGCGAGGATCATATCCCCGACTCCAACGTCTCTCTGGCGCAGCTTTCGAATCAAATGACCAGACAGAGATTTCAAAAGGAGCAGCAAATGCAAGTGAGATGGATTAGCAGTGTTGCTAACAACTGATGGTATCCTCCAGGACATGTTTCTGTGGAATATCATCTCTGCTGCCCGGATCCTGAGCTGTTGTTATGTCACCAGGGTCATGGGACTGAGATACGGCAACGGGTTTACAGTCAGAAGCTTTTTCAGATTACAATACTGACTGCTACAGGAGATCCCTCTGCCCACAGGATCACCATGCACTGGGACGTTTTGAAGTTACTTGAACGATATGATTAACAACAACATTTAATTTCCCTTTGGGAGTAATTTTTTATTATTTGAATTTTACTGTCTTCTGTTTTTGTTTACATTTCACACTCCCATGTCACCAATCTAGTGACAGATTCATCCCACTTAAGGAGAGAGTAGGGAAATAAAAAAAAACAGCTGACGACTACAATAAAAAGTACAAATGCAAAAGCTGCAGAGACCGACACACCGATTCCTACGAAGAAGACAACCAGTTCACACTCCATGCCCAGATTCGGGCTTTCCTCCTCAAAAGCAGGAGATAATGGACCCTGCTATCAATTCAGACCCACAGTTGAAGCTGCATGTGGCCTTCTCAAGACATTTGACTCTTTTCCACACTGACAGCCAGAGAGCCTCTCTTTGCAGCCCCCTCCCCACCCCCCCTGCATAGATTTCAACACCGGTCACGTCATCGGATCGCCATCCAAACGCCAGCCGCCAGCCTACACTCATGTATTCCCTGTGCAGAAAGGAGTTATTTCTCCCTGCCTCAATGCGTGCTTCATCGCACAGAGACGTTGCGAAAGAGCGCCTTCATTTGCACAGACAGCGAAAGCGGATGTGTGAGGCAGACCCCCCACCCGCCCCCCTTTACATATGTGTTGGAGAAGTGGGGTAAAGGGGGGAAGGGGGGGGAGCATAAAATCAGTCAAAAATCAGAGGGAATAAAACAACCTGCGAGGATGATTAGAGATTTCATTTGACAACAAGAAGAGAATACATGATTGTGTTTTGCATTTTTTTGTTATCTCACGCAAAAGGCCCCCCCCGCCCCCCCCCCCCCTTCTCTCTCTGTTGCATCTGTAGGGTCTACCTGAGCCTACGATCCGCAGGCTGCTGCTATCTCTGCGATCATTTCCATCTTTTCTGCACACTGAGCGCAAAATGTCACCCAGCCGGAGCCTGCCCCCCCACCCCCCTCCCTCTATGCACACACATAGCTTCTTTCGACTTACCCTCTCTCGCTTTTAGCAGTACAGTGTTGGCTACTATGTTCTCCAGCTCCATCAAAAAGAGGAAAATCCTAAATGCTGAGCGCGCGCGCGGAGGGGGGCAGGGGGGGGGGTTGGGGGTAGGGGGGAGAGAGGGAGGGTTTGGGTTACTGGAGCTTCTGCAGCGAAAAACAGCGTCCTTCAGCCGGTGCCGGCGGCGGGGATTGTTTCCTTCACTCCTCGTCGAGATCCGAGCAGATTTCTCTCATATCAAAGTCGTAAAAGATAAAACAGGATGACATAGGTTTGCTTGCAGTGTAAGTTGGGCATGGTTCTTGTTGTGGGCTGGACGTGCGGCGCTGCATTTCTACTCCAGTCCCCCCAAAACCATTCCATGCGTAATACGGGTGCGAAATGATGTCCGAAGCGGAAAACGGCCAACTTGGAGGATCTCGACGCCAGCGAATCGGGGATTCTCGGCGGATCCTTTACGCCGACACACCAGGGCAGCACCAGCTTTACAACGGCAGAGGTTGGCTGAGTGCACCAGAGAGGACATCGGCTCGGCGCCCCCTCCTCCTTCTGCTGGTGCGTAATCAGCGTAGGCTGGGCCTCTCTGCCACAGCGGCGTCAAGTTGCAGGCATTACAGCCACCAGAATATGCATCAAAATAAAAGCACGTACAAATAATATAAATACATCTCGACCGGGCCAGGTTTTAGAAAAGGGATTAGAGGGGCCGGGGGAGGGCCCCAAAGATTTTTTTTATTTTTTTATTAATGTGTATACTGCATTGTACTTTATATAAAACTTTATATGAGGTGGGATTTTTGTGAATGTAAACAATAGTATTTGGAAAAAGGTGACAGACCTGAAGGTGCTGAGAATGATCTTTGATCATGACAGTGACATACAGAAGATGTGTATGAAGTGTGAGCAGCAATCAGCATTGAGGTTAATTCTGATGATTCTGATTATGAGGCAAATGATGAAAACACTAGTTATGTTCCTCCAAGCAAGATATTTATGTCAAAAAATGGTGAGAAGCATCGGTCTTCATCTCCATGTAAACTCCAAGGAAACTATGTGCTGAAAACATAATGAAGACAGCACCAGGGCCTACGAGTGTGCCAATGAGTCATGTCTAAGACATTGAGTCATGTCAAATATCATTTATGTCCTTCACAAAAATTAATCGTCTTTACTGGTGTCACAGCAATCAAACCCTTTGTCTGTCTCCATAGTATTTTTGACAATTTATCTTTGGCTTTGAGCTCCAACGTGTTGAGGCCGGAAGGCCTCTTTGTCATCACCCTAATCTTTAATTTGGTCCGTCCACAGATTTAAGCTGTGGCTCTTGCTGGTTGCTTAGTTTCAGTCAGAGGAAACATGTTGGTAAGATTAGAAGTTTACTTTAAACATAAATCGGACACAGATATGAATAATTTTGGACTTAACTGTATAATATTAATGGGCCTTTTTTTTTTAAAACTCACATCCCGACACTCATGGGTCTATATTGATACTAAAGCAGGCTAATGGCCATTTTCCTTAAGTGCTAAGCTAACAGTGGAGGCAGACAGTTTTGAAACTTCCCACTTCGATCCGTACCCTGTGGAATCTGCAGCTAAGCACATAAAAGTCTTTTATCTGTTGATGTTATGATGTAAACGCTCCCTGCTTGAATGCCAGCGTGAAGCTTGAAAATGGATTGAACACAGACAGCCATAGTCTAATGTATATCATTATCTCCATCATCATCTCTATTGTGTACCATCATTGTCTTATTAATGATGAATTATGTAAAATGACAAATGGTCAAATGACTGGGAGTGACTTTTCTAATATTGATTTGTTGGAAACGCGCATTGATCTTCGTAAAAGTAATTTCTAAGGGCATCCAGGGATGATTTAGGGGCTATTAGCCATCACTTCGATCGCACTTAATGCTACTTCCTTTGTTGGCATTACATGTCAAGCCAGGGTTCTACCTCAGTCCTTATGGGAAGGGGGCTTTGAAGCCAACTGCATAGAGATGTAATGGAAATAACTGCTAAATAATTTTAGATCGGACTTTCAACTTCTGTCCTGCCTTAAAACACAGCCGTCTCACAGTTGTAAAAAGTATTCATACACCTTAAAGTTATTGACATTTTCTCTCAACTATAATTCTGAATGTGTTTTAATGGAATGTTATGTGTTAAATCTACACGTAACCATGGATAATTCTGATATAAAAAAATCCATAATTTTCTAAATAGTTTCATAAATCTAAAAAATGTGCCATGCATTTGTATTCAAGCTCCTTTACTCTGACAATCTCACCGACTGCCTTCAGAAGACATGTTTACTAAACAGAACGCAACGCTGTGTAATTTAATCTTATGATAAATCCAGATGTCCTTTGAAGATCTCAGATGTTTCTTAGGGAACAGTAGAGAACAAACAATATCATGAAGACCAGAAGGGAGGCCAGGGAGAAAGTGTTTGAGAAGTTTAAAGAAATGGAAAGAGTATGGAGCTACATTGCTGTCCAATAAAATCAGAGCTGTCCAATTTCCAACCTCATCCTTCTACTTCTTTTAGGCGTGTCTACATAAATCAAATACTTAAATCACTAGCAGAACTCTGCTGAATGTAATGACGCTATTTGACTCAGGTAGACTGGACTATAAACTGCTCCAAAAGCTTGCAGGACGCCTTCCTGTGAGAACTTGAGCTCGGGATCTACACCGACAAGAGGCCTGTGGTAACTCTGGAGGAGCTGCAGAGATCCACCGCACCGAAGGTAGAGTCTGGCAAGGATAAAATTCACATAAGGGTCTTTAAGAAAGAGGTGTGAAAATATATGCAGAAATGTTTTCAAGTATTTTACCAAACTAGGCAAAAAATTAAAATAAAAATATTTACACTCTTCCCTTTAAATGGAAAAAATATATATATTACAAACAAACTGAAGTTAAACACTAATTCGCAACTTTTATTTTGAAGTCCTGAGGAAGTCACACGCTTTATAAATTTACTTGAAATCTCTCAGGGAACCTTTCCTTCACAGACAGGCTGTGTGTCCGTCCCCTGCATTAAAACAAGTTGTGATACTAACGACATTAAACATATTGAGCAGCGGAAGAGGGCAAAACCATGTGGCAGTGGCAATAATTGGTTTAATAATGGGCTGCATGCAAAATACGACTCCCGCACGGGAGCTCTGTTACATGATCATCATTAGTCCAAACAATTAACAGGCGGATTATTGACTGATGAGGGCAGATAGGATCGATCTGTCCGGACGCGCCGTGATCTCTACAACAGGACACAGGCTGTCTGATCCACTGATCTGCCTTAATTCAATTGCCACAGAGAATGATGCCTTTTGCTTGTAGATCTGCAGAGTCCCGTGTAGGAGGTCACTCTGCAGGACGCACCCTGATGGGTTATTATAAAAATAAACTGCTTTTATAGCAATGCATGCATCAGAGACAGAGGAACGATTAGATGATGTGATTAGATGTTTTCCCAAGCAGCTCCCATAATGACAAACTAATCATTCTTTTATTTGAGAAAGTAGTGCTCATCATTAGCAAATGCAGACATGAAAGCTCACCACATTGTGACAAAATACAAAGTGCTTCTATGTACCCAAAACTACAAACAATAATTTGGGAAAACATTTTTTTTTTTTTTTTACTTTGCTGCCATGATCTTGCAAAACTGAGACGAGCTGATCACAGTTTCCTCCAAACACTTCAAATAAAAATCGACCAGTACAGTAAACTTGATAATTCTGCCCACAAAACACAAAACTCCTCGGATCAAAGGTACAAGTTACCAGTCCGATACAAACTGAGAAAAAGGGCTCGTGAGGAAAAAAAAACCCCAAAAGAAAACTGCTTTAGTACTCGTCCAAGTTATCCGCTTTGGGAATGGAAAGGCCTCGATCCTTCAGGACCTGCATCTTGACTTTCTCCGTCTCCTGCTTGGCTTGCTGCTGCAGCCGCTGCTCCTCTAGGATCTCTTCGATGGAGACCTGCTGCAGGATGGTGTCACAGGGCTTATCCACGTCCTACCGAAAGACACACACTACACGTTACAGGCCAACTGTTTGTGACACCTACAACTTTACTAAAGATCTACACGTTATGTCCTCTGCTTCTTCAAACACCGACTCCCCAACTGTTCTGCAACTAATGTTTTATCAAAGGGGGCCAGCAAAAAAAATCATCATCAGCATTTACACCCATTTACCAGCAATTAAAAAAAAATTAAATTATGAAAAATACATGACTGATGAAATTAACCTAAAATGGTAAATGAGACTAAATCAGACAAAACTCTAAATCAAAGTGATGATCATGTTAATATCACATCCATACACTTGATCTAGTCTTAATTTAAATAGGTTATACATTAGAAAGAACTATGATTAATGTACAATAACCTCCATGTTTACTGACACCTCTAGCAAATATGTATAAAAATCCTTAAAAATATATTTTTTTCATTGTAGCAGAATAATCTCACGTCAAACAACCCGTTTAATTCAGCACATTTACTTGAACTCAAGTACGCCGCCCCTGCTCTCGTTGGCACCCCCTGCTGTTCAGATTTTGTACAACGACCCATGTGACAGAAGGACAACTTTTCTCCTTACACATTACCCGATTAGAGCATACAGGGAAATCTTACTGCTCTTTACACAATCCGTTTAGGTCACCAGAGTCCTTGGTTCTCTATCTTGCTCTCTTCAGCTCATTCGCAAGGTTCTTTGTTTCGATTTGGGACTATGATGACCTTGGAAGAAGGTTAATTTTTGCCTGGTGATCCATTTTTGCGTTGTTTGGCTATGTTTATTGAGTCATTATTCTGTTAAAAGGCCAGATGACGCCCTATTTTCACTTTTTTTATATAAACACGAAGGGTTTTTTTGTGTCCTTGAATGTCAAGCAGTCCATTAATCACCAAAATCTTAAGATTTCGATGGGCTTTTGGAAGAGAAGGAAGAAGATCCTGCACAATGAATGACAATCAGCATGATGTGATTTTCCACTAATTTAACGCTACACACGTTGTAGTGTTAAATGTTCTGCAGCACACACCTGCAGTGTGTGCTGCAGAACAGCTCAATCTTAGCCTCATCCGACCATGGTTCCAGTTAAAAATTACAATGCAGTTAAATCTAGTATGTTGAAGAGAAATAGCTTTTATTTTTATACAAATTTCCTAATTTAATAGTAACTCTAGTGGTACATATGAACCAAGTTTAGCTTAGCACCATTTTTTTTCTTTATAGACATTTTCTGGTTTACACAAATGTATGCAGCTCCATAACATAACATAAAAAAAAAGCCTGTCATCTACTCTTCACACTTTGAAGCGTGGTAAAGATAAATGTCCCTGTGTGTCATGTTATATTTTTACCTCAGTAGAACAAAGTCATAGATTATTAACCGGAAGCTGGCTATTTTTCAAAAAGCCAGCATTAAAAATAAATGCTTCAGTTACATTATGTTTATATGAAGTGCTAGGAGTTCCATTTGTAACTTGTATTTCTTTATGCGCGACTGTTTCCCGGGTGAATAAATGTAGTCAAA